CTGCCACAAAATGTATTTTGTACATTACTTCCACCCAGAAAATTTATTTCATACATCTTAATGATAACGCTAAATAGTGTTGTTTTCTGAATAATAAACATACTCATCCTTTTGATGCAATGTTAAAAAAAACTGATACAACCAACACATTAAACATGTCAAGATGCTGAAATGACACATCATACTAAAAAAAACTCACACATAACCAAGAACATAAAATGCATCTGCATTATCAGCATAATTTATCTGGAAAAAGTGGGACGTTTAGAAGCAATACCTGAAACACAGACAGAAGAGATATAGTTATATATAATAAGAAATGTTTAAAAATATATATAATATATTAATAAAATAATAATTTTGAACAGTGTGCATATATTTCTTTTTCTTTCTTTTTTTCTTTCTTTCTTTCTATATATATATATATATATATATATATATATATAGCCTACACTACACATTTAAAAAAGAAGAAGAATATTTTTATTCAGCAAGGACGCATTAAATTGATCAAAAGTGACAGTAAAGACATTTATAATTTTAGAAAAGATTTCAATTTCAAATAAATGCTGTTTTCCGAATAGTCTTGAAAAAAATGATCATGGTTTCCACAAAAAACCAACACAACTATTTTCAACATTGATAATAAGAAATGTTTCTTAACAAGCAAATCAGCATATTATAATGATTTCTTTATGAAATAAATGCAGTCTTGATGAGCATAAGAGACTTCTTTAATATCAAAGAAGTCTCTTACGGTCAACAAGACTGCATTTATTTCATTTAAAAAATCATTATAATATGCTGATTAGAATTCAATACCCAAAACGAATATCATATATGGGTATTGAATATATATATATATTATATATACTGTATATATTCAATACCCAAAATGAATATCATATATATATATATATATGGTGCGGTAAAATACGGAAGATCATAAAGATTTTGGGGGGACGTTATGTCTCCATCAATAATGAAGTACTGTAACTGTATATTTATATGTAACTACGGATCATTAAAATGTTACAGCCAAACCAACACCGTAAACACTGTTACTAAGAGGGAACCTGAGAAACATAAGCTACACTTTGACGCTGCAAAGAGGGCGTAAGGCAGGGGAGTGTGAACACTGCACCTTTGAAAGGAAGAGGAGGTGGACGAGTCTGCTTTACAAGATCACTCTGATGCAGCGCCTCCACTATCCAGGAGAGAGCAGTAGAGCAGTACTCCACCTGAGTCAGAAAGAGACAGAGTATCATTCAAAAACCCGAGGTCCTCTTTAAAGTGCAGCCTCATTAATTACATCGATCGGCTGACAGCTTGGCAGATACTCAAAGCGGATCTGCATTCTAAAGGAGGATGACGGATGGTCCTTGGTCTGCGCTGAGCAAGCAAACGCAACAGCTGCAGCTAAAATAAGCCAAGACTCATAGTCTCACACCCACAGACACATGTGTGCGCTCTGTGGGGCACTAATGGGTTTTAAAAGCACTTGTGGCTGTGTTTGATAGCCACAGGTAGACAGGTGCGTGTTGCCGCCACTAACCTCCGACTCCAGCTTTCTCAACCTGCGATCGTGATCACGAATCTCCACCATCTGCTTCAGGACGCTGTCCACCCTACGCACACATATGGACACAAATACACACATGCTGTCATTCAAGACGCTGGTGCCTGATTCAGCAGGATTTGACAGTCTCCATGTCTCCCCCTTCACACGCACAGAAACACGAAACTAGAGCTGCCACTGCGAGGTTACTAAATGCCCCCAGGTGTGTATTACATTCAGATCTACTTGTCAAGGACAGACATGTTTCACACTCACTCCTTTTTTTTATAAAACTCATATTTGAAGTAAAATAAGTTGGCAATTGTTGATCTGAGAGAACGAAAGAACAGTAATAGGAGTGACTGACTTTGTGGAGGTGCGTTTGAGCCGCTCCGTGTCGCTCTCTCTTTGTTTCTTGCCTTGCGTGGAAAGCAGGTTCTCCTTCAGCGTCGACTCCCATGTGTTTAGCAAACTTGCCTCTTTGGTTTTCAGTACCAGCACTAAGTTAAGAGATGCACTTCGCGGTTAAAGACAAACTTTGCAAATGAGGCTTTGCGTGTGGTGTAGAAATATTTGATTGTGCATGTAAAATAAAAATCACAAGGGAGAACATACTAAAGTGTTGGCTCTTAATGGAAGGCAGTCTCTGGATGACCCTTTTGACGAAGATATGCAGGTGGGAGATGATGATGAAGGGCGGGGAGAGGCAGGGGCGCGAGTGGTACTCCACAATCAGGTTGTAGCGCTGGAACTTCCAGTGCACATCGCTGTGCTCCTGGACTTTATTGAATGTGTAACTGTAGACAGATCACATGAACAGTAACACACCATCAAATTAAGCAATATGGTAAGAGAGGTCATGCTGTATTGTGAATCAAGCAGTTGCAGAAATGGATCCCCTTCAGCTGTAAGTATTTTCACAGTACTGCATGGCCTCAAGTGTTTCATTGCTAGGGATGCACCAATATTAAAATGCTGTCCGATACCGAAGCCAGTTATTATTTTTATATGGGCAAAAAACCGTAGGGTCCATATTAAAATTCAATACTATTTTGTCTAAAAATAAAATTAATTTGATTAAATGCTAAAGGTAGGCTAGCTAGGTATTATAAATGTACTGTATGAATAATGGATATTCAGATTTGCTAAATATTACATTTAACAGTGTTTTTCCACAATAATTTAAATATTAACGCATTAAATAATAGCAAATATTTTTTGTAATATAATAAATGTCTTTACTGTCATATTTGACTAATTTAATGGATCCTTGCTGAATAAAAGTTTAAAAAATCTTATTGACCCCAAACTTTTAAAAGGTAGTGTAGGCTATTACTCTTTATATTAACTAAACATTTGTAATTAGTTATCTATGTTATCATTTATTAGTTATCATTTGTAATCAGCCCATTTTAATTAAAATGTTACTTAACTAAGCAAGTACATTAGATTTAAGGATGAAAACTATTCATTTCATAATATACAATTAATAAACACTCCACCTGCTTGTGCTCAAGTGCCCACTGAACGGAGAACCAACTTTTGGAGAAATCTAGTAATCTGACACTTGCAGTTTTATCCAGATATTTTAAAGTCCATGTAAAATCACTGCTTTAAATTCAAACATGAAGATATTGCTGATGTTATATCAGTGTTGATGGTGCAGTTTTTTTTTACCTGAACATTGCAATGAGCAAGTTCACCAATAGAATATTGGTGACCAACAAGTAGACTGACAGCAGAATAAGGACCAGCCAATTAGCATCAGACTGTGGGCAGGGCTCCGCCCCGTCATGGATGAGAGTGACGTTGTCTGTACACTGTTTCTCATGTCGCTTGTCAGCTAGACGAGACAAAAAAATAAATAAATCTTATCACAAAAGAACCAATAAAATGAGCTGAGTGTACAAAAGTTTGTGGACAGTAAGATTTTTTGTAAGAAATGAATAGTCTTATTTAGCAAGGATGCATTAAATAGATCAAAAGTGACAGTAAAGACATTTATAATGTTAGGGTACGTTTACATGACAATGATGTACTAAAAACAGAAACGTTTTCCTTTGAATTTGTTATGTACAGATGACAATGATGTCAAAACGATATAACGATTAAACGACTAAACACGCTGTATTATGCTGCCTGGCCAGTAGTTGGCAATAGTTGGCTGAAACCGCAGTTTTTAGTTGAAATAAGAGATATACTTATAAAATTTAAAATTTATTTAAATTTTTTCCAGTTTCAAGATTGATATTAATAAGAATTTCGGGCATCAAATCAGCATTTTAGAATGATTTCTGAAGGATCATGTGACACTGAAGACTGAAGTAATAATGCTGAAAATTCAGCTTTGATCACAGGAATAAATTACATTTTAAAATGTAATTATTTATTTGAAATTGCAATAATATAATTGTAACAATATTACTGTTTCTACTATATTTTGATCAAATAAGTGCAGCCTTGGTAAACATAAGAGACTTCTTTCCAAAACATTAATAAATCTTACCGACCCCAAACTATTAAAATGTATATGTGGTGATGGAACTGTATAGCAAGAATCATTCTAAAACAAACACACCCAAACACAGTTACAAACATTCAGCGATACACACATCAGAGACACAAAGACATACACACACACACATACCATCAATTTCATCCAGTGGTATCTGCCCATATATGTGCATATATGGCCTGTAAAACACTCGCCGAATTATCCAATCAGGACGAGTGTCGTAGGAGTACAGCAGTGCCTGATTGGCTACTCCATATGCCATTAGCCACACCCCCAGAAAGAACAGGAAGAAAAACACATCTTTCACCTGTGGAGTACATGAACATTCTTGAGCAGGATAATGTGCACTTATTAGGGCACGTTCAAAATAAAAGACTCCTCACCATTTTGCCAACTATTATGATTTTGGGACCAAGTTGTTTGTGAACTGCAAATATATGAATGAGTCTGAGGGTGAAGACCATATAGTCGACACACAGGACAGAACGACCAAAATTATATGTCCACGGAAACATCCTGTAACAAAAACACACATGCACTAACCAATACAAATACAATCACACACACACACACACAAACATAAACAAGACAGATTACACTCATTTAACCTGCAGAGAAGCCCGAGAATGAAGAGCGCGAGGGCCGTGATGTCACACTTGTTCCAGATGTCTTGGATGTACAACTTCATCCTTTGAAATACAGTGGTAGATCCTACAAAAAAAGTCTGAGAGAGATCAAAATTCAGTGACTGAACGAGTACATCAAATGTGCGTAAATGCAATCAAGATTCATACCTGTCGAATTTCCTCACAGACCAGAGTAAAAACCCAGAAATACAACACAAGCTCCAAAGGGGCGGGTCCGTGGGGAGGCGGAGGCTTGAAGTCAACCAATAGGACATAAGCAAACAGGAAGAGGAAGAGGAAGTACATCAGCACATTGCCTAGAAACGAAGTGACCGGTGCAAACCAGAACTGCCGCCATCGATGGAATATAAAAGGTCGTTTCCGAGGGACAGCCTTTGATGCTGTAATATAAAAAAATAAAATAAAGATGTAAACATCCCACAGCAAGTCAAAGTTTAACAGGATCTGTAGCCATCCAATTTAGACGCACCTTTTGGGTTTTCCTTTAAAGCATTACATTCCTCCACATCTTCATCCCTGTGAAGGACACATATGACACTCTTTATTTTATCTGCATCATCTCTAATTTAGTGAAAATGTTTATGGCACTGAGAAACCATGAATTACGTGTTTGAGGTGTCAGCCAATAATAACTCGGCTCCATCGGCACTGTCGAGTTCTTTACCCTGATTAAAGTCATCTGGCATTTCATCCATCTCCAGCTCCCTAAGAGGTCGAATGGCATTAAAACTGAGAAAACTGTACCAAAAAGAAAATGTAACTTTCATGCCACAATACTGACTTGAAACTGATGAGTTTGGTGTAGATGAAGGGAGGCAGAAAAAATGAGAGGATCAGTTTCCACACCTCTGTATTGCTGTCCATGTCCCCCCACCAAATCTCTGACAACAAAGTCTATACCCATGGAAGAGATGAAGAACAATGACACCAGAAAACCTAGGCAAAACAGACACTTGAACATACAAACAGAGCAGATGCAGAGTAGCAAGAGAACCGCTGACCTGAACTCCGTCATGGCTGAAGAAGAGGCGGGCTTCAGCCGCTGTGGCCATCTGCAGACAGGTGACGCCACCCCATACAGGTGACTGTCTGATGAGAAGCTTGAAAGAGCGGCTCTCATTGCTCTGGTAACACTCACTGAACACATCTTTTATGAAAGTGATGAGAAAATGCATAACGCATATGAAGATCCACTCAAATACTGACAAGCACATAACATAATCTGTTATACACTATTGTTCAAAGGTTTGTTTTTGAAAGAACTCTCTTAATATTTTTGTGGAAACCGTGATACAAAAACAGTATTCTATGATGAATAGAAAATTCAAAAGAACAACATTTGAAATAGAAATCTTTTGTAACATTATACACATCTTTACGGTCACTTTTGATTAATTGAATGCATCCCTTGGCGAAAAAATAAAGTCTTGCTCTCCTCAAACTTTACAACTTAAGTGTAGTGGAGTAAAAAATCTGAGATCACATTGAAAATATGAGATATTTTAACCCTGAAATAAACTGACATTAAATGAAGACATATTTTAGATCCTGCACTATTAGGGCATTTAAAACGTGTGACACACGGCATAAAGAAATGCAAGGTCTAGAAACATGCTTGTAAGAGTCATTTTTATGTCAATAATGTGTATATTATTATTGTTTGCTTAGTGTGTTGATTTAGCAAGTAATGACTGAAAGTATAATTTTGTTTTAACTTTCTTTGAGAGGCAATTCTGATATTTCCTGTGTATATATATTTCAGTATTATTTCCTATGTTTTCTGATGTATAATTTGTGTTCTGTTTCTGAAGATTGAACTTGAACAGGTCTGCGCAAAGGAAATAAGCGAGAAACAGTTTTCTTACCATCTTGTCAGTCATTTATGGATAAAACTTGTGTTTGAACGTTTAAGGTAACACAAGATAAAGGTTTAACAAGTGTAATATCATAGGATACAGGATCCAACACGATTTTGGTATATTTTTGTATTTTTATTTGATTAAACTCACATTTGTTTGATTGTTTGATTTTTGAGTGACTTCTGTGACGAGTAAGAACCCATTTTTTCCTGCCTCTACAAGTGAAGTATCTACAATGCTTGCCTTTTTTCAACTTGAGTGCCACATTTTTAGACTGCCATGTGACACAACAGTCAAACATGTCTGTTAAACGCATGTCTATAGAAAAACAATAGAAATGCAGTGCAGTGGAATGAAAAAATATGTTCTGTGTGAATAGCCACTTACTGGGTCACTAACAAGCAAAAGTTAGTGTAAAAAAGTTAGTATAATTTCATTATTTTAAATAAGTTTAAATATGATAATAAAAATAACATTTTCTAAAAATGCATTTTTAAAAAAGAATGTAAAACACACTAGCGTTTTCATTAGCCGTCTCAGACTTTTGACCCCTATTGAAAAACCCATCTGAAATCTCTTTAACTTGACTGACACCCACCATGTGCCAGATTCTCAAAGGTCTGAGCTAGTTCCTTCATGGAGAGCTTGGTCTCAGTGTCTGTCTCCAACTTAGAGAGCTCTCTTAATATCTTACACCCGGCAAGAGCACTTAGCACCGACTCCCCCGCCTCATATTGAGAGAGAAAGAGAGTGAGAAAAATTATTACAATTTTGAAAAACTGACCATGTGAAATATCATGACCAAACAATCCAGCCATAATAAATAAACAATGCTGTGGTATTCTACATGCAGCAGATAACCTCATGAAGCCCAACATATTATGATCACAAGAGTAGCCAAATACGAGAAACCCTCCTGGACACTTTCACTTGCTAAATTTCTACAGTGACATCAACAACAGAATACTTTGGCTTTACTGCTTTAGCGTGTTACTGAATCTACACCACTAGGTGTCAGTATAGTGTCTAGAATAACTTTAATATGTAAATTTTATGTACTCATTGCAAAGGTTATCTGACAAAATATCTAACAAAATTAATTATGAGGTTAGAAATGATACGCAGGGAACCTGATATTAGTTTCAACTATGATGAGAAAAAAATATACCATTTCCCAGAAGTATATGGACATTTCTCTGCGATTCTGTAGTACGGCCCAAATAAACAGAGCTATCCAGGGAGACCTACAGCGCTCCCGCCGGTACACACTCTCAGTTAGCAGCAACTCATTCACATGCTGAAAAAAGAGGAGACAGAAACTACGATCACAACATTGTTATCAATAATGTATTAACATGTGTATTTATTTCACCAATCCCCAATACCTTTGAAAAAACCTGGCTGATACCTTCATTGCTTTCCTTGAGGAGATTCCCTGATGTAGACCAAGAGGGCCATAGTAAAATGGCTGACAGACATCTTCCATGATTTCCGATAACACCCGTGAAACCTGAGAGATGGAAAGATTTGGAAAGAACAGCATTTATTTATAATAGAAATACAGTAATTCTAACAATAAATCTTTACTGTCAATTTTGACCAATTTAATGCATCCTTGCAGAATGAAAGCATCAAAAGTGTTAAAAAATCGTATTGAACGATACTTTTGAAAGATAGAGTGAGTGTGTATATTATATATGCGAGTGTGTGTGTGTGTGTGGTTTCTGGTTAACATCTGTCTTTTTACCTCATATAGGGTGAGGTCTCGAACAGCAGATGGTGTGGGGAGGGTTGTTGCGTGGCTCTTGAAAGAGGAATTCTCATCAGGTAGGACAGATAATCGGGTCTGAGAGGCTGCTGAGCCCACTCGCTCCTGCAGCCTTCTCTGGAGGAATGAGGAGACCAGATCACAGTGCGACAGTGAGCTGTAAAGGCCCTCTAAACGATGGTGTGTTAGATAGTCCAGAATGTTCAAGCCGGTTTCCACGAACAGACGCACAAAATGGGGTTTGTCATTCACCAGCGCATCAGTCATTGATTCCTCCAGGTCTTCATACTGACAGAAAGATTAACCAATACAAGTGGTCATGTTAAAACACAGTTCAGCTATCTGTCCTGGCCAGTAATTGTAAACTGTGCTGGAATTGTTTTTATTCTGCTAGTACTCCTACCCTCCATTGGATTTCGCCATTGAAGAGTTCGCTCTTGGCGATATCCACCCTGTTCCAGGCCACTGCCAGCTTTAGCTCTTCAGTGTACTCGCTGGCATCATTAGAATCCCGTTTAGCAGCTGAACACACACACACACACACACATAAACCCACATGTAGCTACATACTGTAAACGTGTTGAATTCTCAAAGTAGGTGATTTAATCTCACCTCTTACAAGAGCTTTAAGGATGATTGTGTCAAAGTCATCAGGCCCTTCCTTGTCTCCATGGAACACGGTGATCAGATCTCTGTTATGATAGATACTGAGTACCTGTGTGAAAAAGAGAAAAGTTACTAAAAGTAAAGGAATTACCTTCGTCCTGCATGCACTCTCTATCCAGGCTCTTGGTGTACGCTCACCTGATCCACAAGCTTCTCCAGATCTGTCTCAGAAGGGAAATGTTTCTTGATTCTCTCTCTCACTCGGTCCTTGAGCTCAACACTGGCGCTTTTCCGGCTTTCCTCGTCAGCGGATGGCAAAGTGGGACTCACGGGCGGACTCAGAGGTGTGCTGAGGTCCCTCAGTATTCCTGCTATCAGGTCTGCTGCTGAACCCGACCCTGCCAGCACCAACCATGGAGTGGTGTTTTTCAGAGATAAATCCACTCTCTGCAGTGACAAAGAGATTATTTTAAATATCTTTAATATATAAATACATTTTTGTAATGCCATTTTAGATCTCTAGATCTCTACATGAGCAGCTATGACATACTTTAGTTTAACTGGTGAGTCTCATCCAAACAATAATGCCAAATGCAAATAGCAACATGGACATTGTGTAACAGGCCAAACCATGAAAAATAAATGAACAAAACAAAGTAAAGTAATTTGTAAACATGCATTGTTTTGTTCATGGTGACTCAGAGTACATTAAATAGGTACATAAAATAAAATAAAATTTAAATAAAATTCAATGTATTATATTATTTTGAAATAATAAACTTTTTTTTAAAATATTAATATTAAATAAATAAAATAAACTTGTGTAATGACCTCTAGCATTGAAGCATTTCCTGCGATCAGCACACACAAAACAGGAATCTCAATGCTGCCACTTCCTAGTGAGGACATGAAGAAGACTTGATTTGTTAACACAATGGTAATGCAGCATGTTTTTACTAATAATGCATTAAATCAAAACAAAAAAATAGGGAAAACAACTTGTTTCATAACTGCATTCTCTGTCTGCTCCACTAGAGAGCAGTGCACCCCTCATGACGTGCCAAATGAAACCATTCTGAAGGGATTTACTACACTAAATACCAAAACACTGCTGTTCTTCATAACAGTACACTATTGTTTAGATCCCTTTTTCCTTCCTCTCACTCTGTGTTTATTTGATAAAAGGAAGTGCATAGTTCCTTTTATCAGGGATGTGCCCTCAGGGATGAGCCTGTGCTTCCCATCACAGTGCTTGATGAAGGTGCTAGATAAACGATCAGGCCAGACTCATCCCCTCCATTACTAATTTGAAGCCCTCCGATTTATGGCGCTGACCTAGTATACCCTTGGCTTAAAGGGAACATACTGTATGTAACAGGTATAGAAATTATACTGTCAAATGTATGTATTGTTTAGTAGAATTAGAATTCTAGATATGTGGAAATGAGAGCACATGGTGACAAATGTGCATCATATTTATTTTATAGAAAACAAGGGCGATTCAAAAATAAGAGGCTGCTTATTTTTGTGTTATATCAGGTATGTTTTTTCTGTTGTATTTTTTTCTTGTTTAATGTGAATTTTTTTCTTTACTTAATTTATGTTTCATGCTTTTCCCTTTTGCGTTGTAACTGCATGGGAGAGAGAACAAGGGCAATTCACTCCTAAAGAGGCTGCTTATTTGTGTGTTATATCAGGGAATAAAGGATCCAGCGAAACTGCCACCTGTCCCATGTCCAACAACCATAAAGCTACACAACGCAGAACTAAAGTGTTTATAACTGGTGTCGCTGGACGTAGAAGAACATTTGTTCCACTGACAAGGACTATTTTAATCCAAATTCTTAACTAAAGTGTTATATTATGTATTATTTTGTATTTGTGTATGTAAGTGGATGTATAGTTGTTAAATGTTTGTATCTTTATGTGAGTGTCAAAGATGAATTTCTGCTTGGTGAAAATCTGAACGGACAATAAACTGACTAAGGAATTAGGAATTTGCTGTTGTGCTCTATGGTCAAGAAGAGTTCAAACATGTATTATTAGTGCTTTTTAGTTGAACGGTCTTCTCTCTCTTACCCCAGATGCCAGTGCGCTGATGGGAGATGAAGTCCTCCAGGTTGGCTCTGAACAGTGTCTCACTCCCTCTGTGGCCTACACTCCCATCATCCACGAGGAGGAAGGCCTGGTGGTTGTTGTCCAGGCAGCTGGATTCATGTGGCAAGTTGTGCACATAGTACCGTGCCGGGAACCTACCCTTGTATAGAGTAACCAACAGTATATTTTTACTGTTAGCCTAGGGTGAAGTCCTTCAACCGTTTTCAAAACTCTATTCAGGTTTTTATGAGATTTACTGAAATGCTACTGTACACTCTGTAAAAAGTATCTGGACACTGAGCTTCACTTAAAATGATCAAACCAGATGGCCTCAACAAACAAATTGTACATAACTTTGCCACTCTGAGATATTTTTGCAACTAGATTTAAAGGGGTAGGCTACTTCACCACTGGCAAGATGGGCTTTTAATAAAACGTGGCTGCCTATACAGTAGAAAAGCTAAAATATATATTTTTTTAAATCTGTGCAACTTGACTGACTAGAGTAAACAGTGTCTTCCCTTTTGCCAAATAGGTAGGAAAACTTCAACACCCATAATGCACTGGGCATGTTGCCCTCCAAGGCCAGGTTGCTATGGATAGTTAAATACTGCCTTGCTTCAGTATAGGAAACACTTCTTAGCAAACTTTTAGTCATAATGGTGTCGATTTGTATTGTTCTCGGGTGCAAGAACTCAAAGAGTAAACGTTTAGGGAGAGTGAGTTACTTTCGGTTTACAGTGAAGGAACCAGCGCGTTGTAGGCAGTGGTTAAAGGCTGCAAATAATTCGCCTTTGGCTAAGCCACACCCTACAATGTAGATTGACCAATCACAGCGCAGCCAAGAACGAGCTCCCACAGAGGTCCGACACTTTTTCACAGCGCTCCATTGACTTTAACACAGGCGTCTCATATTTTTGGTCTCGGCAGGCTATTACTGTCGTAGTTTTATCAAAAATATGGTTAAACGTTGTGCCTGGGGCATTTGTAACACAGATACACGATTATAGAAGTGAATAGAAGGAGCAACACTGTTCATGCAAAGCTGGGTAGGTCCAGCTTTGCATGAACAGTGTTGCTCCTTGATATTGTTAGTCCCAGCCTCCGTCTCGATTAGTAGGATATGCGGTGGTTAATTTTTTTTACTGTGACCGGTATGCTTTTGCCTCTATTTGGATGCCTTGTTGTTCCTTGCGTTTCAACTGTATGTCGTGAATATAGCCTTCGAACGTATATTGCAGCCCCTTTTGACTACTTCTATCGGACACTTTATTTGCTACTTTATAAAAGTTGAATAAAATTTCAGCAAGAAGAGCGGTCACAGCATAAGCCATGTTGATACCAGAGCCCAGATGAAGTTAGTTTGTCGGACGTAGCAACAGTAACTAAGGGGGGCGGGGCTTAGCCAAAGGCGAATTGTAAATATGGGGAGAACACCGACATAGAAAATCTGAAAAACCTCAGTGTTTGTAATCAGAATTTAAAACCGGAGGACCACAAACAGTGTTTTAGGCCAAACAGGGGAAAACTCAAAAGTTCCGCCCAACCACCGAAGCAAAACACCGTCGTGTGCAGGTAAGAAAGTGTTTCATTTTCATCAGAATGCTGTTTAAAGAGTAGACAAAGTACGATACAACAACAGTGATAAACCTACCCTTACAATAATTGTTCTGTTCATAACCTTCTGTCGATCTGACTGTACGTGGGCGGGAATACAAAAATGCAGATATATAATCTGTAGTTTTCACAAAAGGCCTGGAGCTGTCAAAGGTTGCTGACTAATAAACGTGTCCAATTTCCAAGAAAGATTATTAATTATTGTTTTATAGTATTTTAAAATAATAATAGTGATGACATAAATCATGATACATGATGCTAATTAAATATTAAATCTACACAGCAAAATCCCCCGTGTTAAATTAACACTCCTCGGTGTACATATGTGTCCACACAGGGTGTTAAAAATTAACACTGAAGGAGTGTTGAAGTTAATGAGATAATTAAGTGATGATTGAGCATTATTGAAGATACCTGATGTTAATAAGCAGAATCATTGAATGAAAGAGAAACACAAGAACTACTGACTTTGAGCCATTACACATTATTGCACGTACTATTACCAGTTTGACTTTGTTTCTGTCATACATCTACTCACGGTCTTATTTAGATTTAATAGAAGTTTAGATGGTAATGTTTTATGGAATGTTTTGTTTCAAGGGTTATGTCACCATTATAGTAATAAGTGTTTGCTTTAGTTGGGCTCTTGACCCCTTACTTTTTAATATTAGTTTTTCTCTGGCTGCTCCAACTCTGTGTTTATAAAGCACATTTGTTGTGGCAATAGAAACTATGACCTATGGCCTATTTTGATCATACAGACTATTTAGTGCAATTGATCTACGATCAAGTTAGGCTTAAGATGTTTATGGGAAACGCAGCCCAGGTCATGATGGTTATGTGTCGATGATAAAATTACAATCCTGTAGTGTCCTGATTCACTGATCTCACCCAGCATTATAAATTGATTATACAAATGCTTTAATAATTTTGTATTACAGTAGCTAATTCCAGTAATGCTTTAATAATCTTAAAGTAGGAGAAAAATAATCACACACAGACATCAAGAATCTACATATGAATCTCAACAATGGTGACAATCACACAAATGCTTCATGTTGCAGTGCATGATGGGAGCCACCAATCAAAACACATCCATGGCTCACATCATGCATTGCAGCATGAATAAATTATGCAGCTGAATTGTCCTGTAATTTTCATTGTTTTTTTTCTGTTTGCTTTTATTTTGCTATTGTTTTGTTATAACTTTAGTAACTTGTTTTGTGATGTTCAGAGTTGATTTGTTTGTCACTAGTTTGTTTATTGTCACCATTGTTGAGATTCATATGCTGATTCTTGATGTCTGTGGATCTAAACACAAGACCTTCTGTGCACACAGTATTTTCAAAATTGTTCATATTGCTGTTGGATCTCAAACTGTAGAATCTCAGGGCTACAATCACCAATGTTAACATCAGACATAAAGCATATAGTCAAAGATTTAGACTCTGAATAACATCAGTGACTCAGGTCACTACATGATGATAATGTCATCATCCAAAAATTTTGTGAGCAGATCATGTTTTCTCTTGCAGTAACAAATGTGCTTTTTTTAAACACAATGTCAAAAGCGTCAGAGAAAATCTAAGCTAACATTAAAAAATGAAAAGGGTTAAGAGCCCAACTAAAGCAAACACTAACCACCATAATGGTGACTTGAAATGAAAAATTCCATACAACATTACCGTCTAAACTTCTGTTGAATCTCAAGAACCTTTGTAGATGTATGACAGAAATAAAGTCAAACTGGTTAATATTAAGTGCAATAATGTGTAATGGCTCAAAGCCAGTTGTAGTTCTTGTGTTTCTCTTTTTTTCTGTTCCTGTTGTTTTTCTTGCCTTCAATGATTCTGCTTATTAACATTAGGTGTCACCACTAATGGCCAATCATCACTTAATTAATCACTTAATTATCTAATTAACTTTAACACTGCTTCAGTGTTAATTTTAACACCCTGTAGTGTGGACACATATGTACACTGAGGAGTGTTAATTTAACACTGGAGATTTTGCTGTTATTATTAATACCATTATCATTAATTAATTAATTTTTAACTGTAAAGATCTGTAGAAATATTAGTGAAATCAGTTTTGGCCTTATCAGGGTCTATTAATCACATTAACTAGATATGTTACACAAATTTGATTACCATGAAGCGTACTATAGTTTGATGACCATAAAGTGTACTAAACATGAAATATTACTATAAATGTGTATATATATATATATATATATATATATATATATATATATATACAGTATAAATATACACTCACCGGCCACTTTATTAGGTACCCCATGCTAGTAACGGGTTGGACCCCCTTTTGCCTTCAGAACTGCCTCAATTCTTCGTGGCATAGATTCAACAAGGTGCTGGAAGCATTCCTCAGGGAGTTTGGTCCATATTGACATGATGGCATCACACAGTTGCCGCAGATTTGTCGGCTGCACATCCATGATGCGAATCTCCCGTTCCACCACATCCCAAAGATGCTCTATTGGGTTGAGATCTGGTGACTGTGGAGGCCATTTTAGTACAGTGAACTCATTGTCATGTTCAAGAAACCAATTTGAAATGATTAGAGCTTTGTGACATGGTGGAAGTAGCCATCAGAGGATGGGTACATGGTGGCCATAAAGGGATGGACATGGTCAGAAACAATGCTCAGGTAGGCCGTGGCATTTAAACGATGCCCAATTGGCACTAAGGGGCCTAAAGTGTGCCAGGAAAACATCCCCCACACCATTACACCACCACCACCAGCCTGCACAGTGGTAACAAGGCATGATGGTTCCATGTTCTCATTCTGTTTACGCCAAATTCTGACTCTAACATCTGAATGTCTCAACAGAAATCGAGCCTCTTTTTCCTATTTGTAGTGGAGATGAGTGGTACCCGGTGGAGTCTTCTGCTGTTGTAGCCCATCCGCCTCAAGGTTGTGCGTGTTGTGGCTTCACAAATGCTTTGCTGCATACCTCGGTTGTAACGAGTGGTTATTTCAGTCACTGTTGCCCTTCTATCAGCTCGAACCAGTCTGGCCATTCTCCTCTGACCTCTGGCATCAACAAGGCATTTCCGCCCACAGAACTGCCGCTCACTGGATGTTTTTTCTTTTTCGGACCATTCTCTGTAGACCCTAGAGATGGTTGTGCGTGAAAATCCCAGTAGATTAGCAGTTTCTGAAATACTCAGACCAGCCCTTCTGGCACCAACAATCATGCCACGTTCAAAGTCACTCAAATCAACTTTCTTCCCCATACTGATGCTCGGTTTGAACTGCAGGAGATTGTCTTGACCATGTCTACATGCCTAAATGCACTGAGTTGCCGCCATGTGATTGGCTGCTTAGAAATTAAGTGTTAACGAGCAGTTGGACAGGTGTACCTAATAAAGTGGCCGGTGAGTGTATATATATATATATCAATAAATATAAATGCAAAAATAATTATTGTTGTGGCTCACACATTTTACGTGTTGCTTTCATGTGAAGTGCTCATAATAGAGCAGAATGGACTCATAGTACCTGTTCGTTTATGAGTTGATGACGTTGGTAAATCAAGCCCCAGGGCGCAACACCAACAGCAATAACTTTGGCCTGGGAAAGAGATGAAGCTGTTGCACAATGATCCCTTACTGCCTCACCTACACAGCGGCCAACACCCTCCCTCAGACCTGACGTCATGATCCAAGCCCCTGGGAAAAGAGAGAAAAAAACACAGGAAATGTTACTATTACCTAAATTACACAGAATACATCAGCGTCACAAACACAATCACTGATAATGAAAAACAAAGTATTTAACATAATGCAACACACAACTTCTGGATTCAAGCTAGGCTTACCATTTACATAAAAACCTTATCTGCCAAGCATCGCTTCAAACACGCACAGGAGGAATTCCAGTTTGGCCTGTCTATCACTGACATTAAGACTAATTACCGGGTTCATGGTTAATAACAGTTATTTTCCAGAACACATTTCAGGTAAGCTACCTGTCCAAATTTACTCTGTGAGACAGAGGTGGCCAAATCATTTACTCAGAACCATATCTGCATCTGAGTTAAAACTTTTAAATACAAAAAAGTTAAATGTACACAAAATATACTTGTACATAGCATGTCTATGCACCCATAGCAAAATTGCAGTCCATTTTTGTTATCAATATGGTAATTCATGCCTTATCACCAGTAGATGTCTTCAGAGTGACACACAGATCTGTCATGACAAGTCTGTGTGTTTTTAGGTATGGGAATGGCGTATTTTCAGTGTTGATATTTGGGCTAGGGTCATTGGGCTAGTTTTGTTACCCAGATAGGGAAGCCCTGATCTGCGGCAACAAAACAGCTGCTTAAAGGTAGGCAATTTGTTTTATTAAAACTTTTTGTTATACTGGTTTAAAATCTTTCTTCACATCCTGATATAGAAATATATAGTATATGTAGTATAAAAATAACAGAAGTGGTCTAAATATTAAAACATGTTCTGTGGAAGTCTCAGGACCAAAAATTTTCGTCCAATCATTGCATTCTGTCTGAATTCCCTACCTGGCTGTCAACATATGTATTTCCATACCTCCGCGCACCTGCTCAGGCAGACATCACACGTCATCAGCGCGTTCTGTAAGGCTAGACAGACGTCAGTCACCGAGCGCCACAAACAGTTCAAAAGCCTTTTACAGTTCCACCTGGACCAAAACAACGAGCTTATGCTGCGTTCATGCGATGTCATAACTGTAATTATGAGATGGCAACCTGTGATGTTTTACCCAGAGCTGTTCACATACTCAGATTTATACATTTCTATTTCAACAATATCAACGCCGGAATGAATCTGCAGGTGGTACAAGTCTGAGCTCTGTAAGTTGTTTCTGTTCATTATTATTGTAAAGTTATGTGCTTTGAGACATGAGGTAATTTATCGCCATCTCTTATGATGTTTAGCAGACTCTGCCGTGTGTGTTCATGTGTTTTGAAGGAGACGTGGCTTTGGAGACGCTCTGAGGGAGGGTGGGATCTCATGCTTTCAAAGCTAGCTTGCTAGCTTGCTATAATCATCACAATCTGATATTAACTAAAAGGTTGTTAGTATGATAAGTATATTATGTGTGTATATGAAGACTGCTGAGGGATGTCAGAAAAACATACAAAAATAATAATCACAATTATTCTGCCATGTGATAAGTGTTTTGTATTAATTATTAATTTATTTCAGTTAGTTTTCAACCACTACAAGATTTATTTATTTTTTTACTTTTTTTGATTTTTTTTTAAAAACTTTATTTTAGTTAAAGAAAATGTCACATGACTATTAAAAATAACAACAGCCTTAATCTCAGTTTTAACTTTAGTATACAATAATAACCCAGGTCCAAGGGTGAAGGTAGGGCTAACAGTCCACATGTGATTTATTAGTATAGAGTGTATAAAGGTTTCAAGCTCGTAAGATTACATAAGTGAGCTAAACATACACAAGCAGGAGAGGTTACCTGTGCTCTGTGCGGCCCGGACAAGACCCTGTCTGATCACTTCTCGCACCCAGGTCTTCACCTGCTCCTTCCCCTCTCCCCCCACAACTGACACCACCAGATTGGGTACCGGCAAACCCCATTGTGACGTCATCAGCGAGTACACATTGTCAGGTGGTGTGTCATGTGCCAGACGCAGGAACTTGGGGATACAAGATGAATGACATATAAATGCACAGCAGAAAAACGGTCTTGAGCGTTTCTGTTACTCAGCCTAAACTAAGGTATAAAGGGATCCTGACAAACGTGACATTCAGAAATGTTGCACAAACGTGCATTATATTTATGTTGTCGCTGTGTGTAGGAAGGGATTTGTGTCAAAGGTGAAAGACTGAACAATGGATCTGCCGGAGTATTAAATGGTGCCAACTCTCAAAATTCTTTGGCATTCAAGAGTGGTTTTGTTTTGTTTAATGTTAATTGGCTTTAATAAGAAATGTGTACAGCTTCAGGCGCTTTGGGGTGGCTTAAAATGACGTTTATAATCACTGCGGATTGAACATTTTCTTTGTTCTTCCCTAATTACTCAGCGATCTGGCATACTTTTACAGGAAATTAAAATAGAGTATAGTGTGTTCAATAAATTGTACTGCTGTTTAACAACATGCTAGTTAATTAAACATTTCCAGAAAAAGTACAGTGTATAAAAACTTAAAACATAAAATTTTCGTGAGAATTGAAAATGACATGTGATCTATAAACTTTATACTTTCTATATGCATGTTTTTTAATGGTTGTGCCTCTGCTTTGCTTTGCAAAATGTGTGTTTTTCATTTATAACATGATCTTAATAAAAATTTTTTTTTTTTTTACTTTTATTTATAAATTACTTTCGCCATAATTGAGAATGTAGTTAATGTAGAAATTAACAAACCATAAATGCTGTAAAACTATTGTTCACTGTTAAGGTCACATTTACCGCTGTTAAGCGAATTTTCGCAGGCAAAAATCAGTAATTTTAACAGGAATTCGGGCGAGTAAGGGGGAAAAATTTCCCACACAGATTTCACAATGGATTCAGTTGGTTCATTGACCAACATAAAACTGCTTGGTTTTACAGTGAATTCTGTGTGAGCTCTGTTTCATACATCGCTACACTATTGACACTGTTTTCAGAATTTTGCTGAAATATTGCTAATTTGAGAAATGCATTAACTAATGTTAATGATTAGAGTATTATCAATTAAACATAGTTGCATTGTCAGATGGGAGTTCATATTCTGGGTTAAAGTAATTGATTGTGTGTTCTTAAGCAGGAGTAAAAAAGAAAAGAAAAAGCGAGATACCCACAGGACTGTTTCTGCGTCCAGCTCCAGCAAACTCCAGCTGTCCAAAGGCATCAGTGGGGTTTTCAGAGGTGTGCTGTGCACTGTCCCATTGGCTGACAACATGATCATCTACCGTTATGGATGCATGGAGTTCCCGTGCTCCACCACACTGGCACAAAGCCCCATTACTGCCACAGAGAGAGAGACAGAGAGAGAGAGAAAACTGTCAAAACAGGTTTCAGTGGGTTTCGAATTCACATATACTATTCAAGCCATCATTTCGGAAGAAGAAACTCGAAGACAAAGAGAGATAATTAATCAATCTCCTTAATACATGTGTCTCATTTACACAGGATAAAAGGTACATTTATTTCTAAAGACATTAATAGCTGAAATTAAACCAAAAAAAAGTTACAATGGACACATCATCCCTTGAATAAATAAATTATATGAAGTACCTGCCCAAACCCTAATATGAATAAAGCCCATTTAATATAACAATAGCTTGTCATAAAGGGAAAAAGGACAGGGAAATTATACTGTGTGTGTTGACAAATGGCTAGGAGTTCACCTTCCTTCATTCATTCCAAAAAAAAGGAAAAAAAGTCATGTTTGTTGACCAACCCTGCATTGCCAAATCAGAGACTTAACGGCTCTGATCATATTACGAGAGGCTGAACGTCAGTTTTAAATGACAGAGTATGAAAGGACTGAATAGTTTTCTGCGTACACAAACTGAATGAAAGAGAAAATGACTGTTGTACCTGGATGCGTCCTTCAAAAAGGTGGTGCACTCTCTCTTTTTAATCAACTTCGGGATCCAGCTCTACAACACAGAAGTTACACAGACATTTTCACGGGCAGATTGTTTTTTTTTCCATTCATTGTCACTGGCCGAGGAGAACAAACAATAAGACTATGCTTGATAGAAAAAGAATTTCCATGGAAATGTCATGTGTGAAATGCAATCCTAATCACAGAAACTAACATTTTATTTGGCTTCTGCCCAAAAATGAAAATGTTGTCATCACCCTCATGTTGTTCCAAACCTGTATGAGTTTCTTTCTTCTGTTGAACACAAAATAAGATATTTTGAAGAATGTTGGCAACTACAGTTGATGGCAGCCATTGACTTATATAGTAGGAAAAAAATACTATGGAAGTCAATGGCCACCGGGCGTCAACTGTCTAGTTACCAACATTCTTCAAAATATCTTCTTTTGTGTTCAACAGAAGAAAGAAACTCATATAGTTTTGGAACAACATGGGTTGAGTAAATGATAACAACATTTTCATTTCTACAATCAATTAACATTTTAATAATAATAATTTTAATCATATAGTATAACTGTACTAATTATAATTTTATAATAAAAATGACTTCTGCATGTAATATTAGAGGAGATGGTTGTATTTGGAATCAATGAAAATGTCAAAAATAATAAAAAATATTTAAAAAAAACGTGATTATTAAACCAGATGCTGAAATATGCTAATCAAACATGCAAGATATCATTTAGGAACATTTGAAACAAATAGAAAGAGAAAGACTGCTTACCTAAAATTAAACAAACAAGGACAACTTGTTTCCAAAACTACAAACAACTTATTTCTTATTTATTCAACACAATAAATACATTATAGCTTAATGTACCCCAAAAAGATTGATAATTCGGCATAACACAAAATATACTCGTTTTTTATATTTATTTATTTATTTATTTATTATTATTTTATTTATTTATTCTTTTCCCCTCACCTGTGCCTGCAGGTCTTTGCTCTGTATTGAGCAAGTACTGCGATAACCTGTTAAACAACCTTAATTATGGTGCTTTAAATTGTGACACATTTGGTCAATCATTTTCTCTGACCTTCCTAAGCAACATCACACTATTTCAGAGACAATCCAAACCTGACTGTAAAGCCATTAAAACAGCCATGACATTTGCATGAAGCCAATAATTGTTTAATACTACATATCCTACTACATTTTACATATTAAGGTGGCTACTGTTGTAAGTAGGAGTGGCAATATTTGTATTTGTCTCCCTTTGATAAATTGCTTCTATTTATATTGTTCTCACTTCTCAGTCCGTTGGATAAAAGCGCGCGACTATAAACGAATAAATGCAAATATAAGATAGAATACGCAGCGCGTGAAGATTACAAACTGTGTTATGGAAACAGCTTGGTAGGCCAGAGCTTTGCCATTAAACTTATATTAGCATATAAATAAGCGCAATCAAATTTTTTTTTTTTTTTACATCTTAATAGCCTACAGTGGCATGAAAACATTAAATCCCTTAAAATATTAACTTGACAAAGCATTAACAATGAATTGCTGTATTAACTCACTTCCGTATTGATACATTAAGGTGGCTTTGCACGTCGTCATGTATTGCCAAATAACACTAACGTTATTTACATTAATAATGTATCAAACATAGGTAGCCTACCTGATGGTTTTCGGACTTTCTCTCTCCTCCGCCTCCTTCATTTTCTTTCTCAATTTTCTTCATTTTGAACATCTTTCCGTCTTAGAGTTTGGGTTTATTAGGGATCAATTATTCTTCAGATGAGCTCCATGGGTCTAGTTTCAATAATGCTCTAGTTTGCCATCAACGGGATTCCGAGATATTCAATGAAACTTTTACTAAAGCCGCGCATTTGATAGCCCCGCCCACACTAGACTTCCCACGCGCGCGCTCCGCTCCTCCTGGACGCATTCCAGCACGAGCTCATGATGGTCTGTTACTGTTAAATTAACCAAACAGTTGTGGGCGGTGAGGGATAGAGAAAACAAATATACAGGCATGATACGAGTAGAACAGGGAGAAGATAAGAATTTCCACAATGGTTTTAAACCACACACTTGCTGACAAACTGATTTATAACGAATACATCGTGTACCCTAATCGTTTGCTGTGATGGCTAATAGGCTATTGATGACGAATGCTTTATAAGCTACTCCCGCTATATTATTTCGCTATGTAACGTTAGGTCTACAGGCTGTTAGAAACCGGATACCTGGTTGTAAGAAAAGGTTTCCATATTTCATGTCCCTACAGGCGTGTCTTTTTGAAGCACTATATTGACCTTAAGATGTAATTCTGCGTGGCCAGTTATGCTGGTTTAACTGAAGTTCGTTTTAGCTCCAGGAAGTAAAAAATGGGATGTGTCTTTAGATATCAACCCCCTAAAATATATAAATATATTTGTGAATTAGTAACTAGCAACTATAGCCTACTGCATTTCCACTCAGAACTGTATTTTGAAGGGTAGGCACCTATTAGGCAAGTTTTTAGAAAACTCACCAGACATACGAGTATACCTAAAATTGGAGGAAATAGACAAGCTCATGATGTCAAAGAAATGGAAGAGATTTAAAATGTTTTGTTTGAGTAAGAAAAGAGCCAGACGCCTTCATTTGGAAGTAAGGGCACAAGTTTATCGCTCATGTGATCTTCAAAATCACTACAGGTTTCTTCAGTACAAATAAAATCCAAAACACATGCATTTATCTCAACCATTCATTTACACTCTGTAAGTACCTCTTCCAACGACTGTCTTCTGCCAACTCAATTATATTATGTGAAACTTTGACTGGGGAAAATAAATTCTCTAGTTAAGTGAAGTTTTGTCAGAATACGTTTAAATTTCAGTTGTCAACATACATTATTAAAACATCATTCTGTCCCATTCATATACACATTCACTATTCTATGAGAGAAGGAACCGATGGTACATATCCTCCATTCCAGAGCTATCTCAAAACTTGAATGAGTGTCATGTTCTTTAGTAGCACCTAAACAAAAAAAATGCTCTTTGACACAGTGGGGGGGGGGGGGGGGGGTTTAGGCTGCACTTGCAATCCTAGCAATAAAAGAAAATTCGAAGGGGTAAAGATAACATTCTTTTCTCAATTCTGTCACACTCAAAAACTCAATAGTAATAAATGTGTAGGCTAGCTGACTTTAAAATGTGCACTCTTCTCAGAAAGGGGGAGACGAAGAAAGAACACCTATGTAGTGTACTTAAAGTATGTACAGGTTGAACATTATGTGTAAGAGTGTTTGCGCCATCTTTGTCTCTCCCGAGTGTATGCTTTAGAACGCTTTAAGTATACTTTATATCTTACCACATTTCTATATTCATACATATTTATAGCAAGACAAGAAAGAGACGGGAAGGAGGGTGGAGTACTCAAGTTTACATGATGCCAACACATAGGGGGAACAGAACAATATAACAAACGACTTTCACTCAATAGCCATGGTGGGCTCAAACACGTGCAGGGGAGGAGATTTTGCAAACTTGTTCGACCAGATGGAGAGAAATAAACAGTCTCTGTCCAATCATGTTGAGGAATGCATTGAGGCAGACTCCCTGTCCTCTTTTTCCTCCTCATCCATCTTGCGGCCATGCTTTCTAAAATACTTGTACCTCTGGACATAAAGCTTGACCAGGTTATTCACTTTAACTGGATTGATCTCACCTGTTCGGCTGTGACAAATCTGTGAGGTAAAGACAGATTAGTCATACCGATACACTTTCTAGATGTTTATTAGAAGCTATTATCTTGAAGCTATATTTACCTTGTGCACAGCTTTCCTTAAGATATCCTTGTATTCGTCTTTATTGATGTCTTTGCGCTGGTAGTAAGGCTTGATGGCCAATTTGACTTCCTCTACTGCCCTCTCCTGGGTGTGCAGCTTCTTCAGATACTAAGCAAAGGTAAGTGATTTAGAATTAAATTGTTATAGGGGTTGTTATAGATGGGATAATCCTGCCCACACTGCAATTAATTACAATATTGTGATTGCAATTTGAATTGTAGCATGACAAACATTTAACTTCTCATATTGCTGCTCTGATTTCCAGGGAAAGAAAACAAAAGTACATTAAATCGCTGAGACAGGAAGCAAGAAAATGACAAATTATCAAACAATATCTATTGTCTTTAAATGAATAAAACCTTATATTTGCATTCACTCAAACTGTTAAATTAATTTACTTTTGAGATTAAATAATCATACTACAAAGTTGTACTACATTTTTTTCTTGAATTAATTTTGCAGCCCTAATTATAGGAAATATATAAACGTACAGAAAGCATTGATACCTTGTCAGGGTCTTTGCTTTCGTTGTCCCAACCCATTTCACTGCCCCCTGTTATTCCCACTGGCAATGGAGGTGGCGGAGTCTGAGCAAAGCCTCCTCCCATTGAGACTCCAGGGTGCAAGTGTGAAGGTGGCGTTTTGGTACAGCCAACCAATGGAACAGAGCTGTGGAGAATAAACTGTGCAGGATTGGGTCCTGGGGGTGGAGCATGTGACGGAGGTGGAGGAACTTGTGATGATATAGATGAGGATGATGAAGGAGGGTGTGGCTGTGACTGGTTCTGATTGGCCTGAGAGAGGATCTGTGTAAAGAAAAACACAATTTTAATACACTATCAAGTTAAAGTTAGGTAATTAATTGAACTTCACAATCAATAGTGACTGAAACTATCAATTAACTAGACTTAAGGAATTTGGTAGAACATTGTACATTGAGAAGGAAACCATAACCCACATAACAACATATATAGTAATAAAGGCCAGGTCACGTTAGACTTTGAGCATGCAAAATTGCTTTCTTTTAAGCTTTCTTTTAATTCAGCTATGAGTTCATTCTGTGATGTATCAAACTTCGTCGCACGCCTTCTCATGATACAAATTTGCACATCAGACTTCACCAAACTTGAAATCTAAAACGCAAAACTTATTCGCATGAGCTTGTGTTTCCAGTCTCCCAAATTTGTTAGGAAGTTAATGGAAAGAAAAGTGTAGTGTGAGCGCCCTTTTAGAATATCATAGATTTACCTGACTTGTGGCCTGGATGAACTCTTGTGCTTTGGCTCTGTTGGCTATATTGGCCTCCTCCATTTTGAAGAGGAGAGCTGTCACTGAAGAGTAATTTAACAGTAGGAAATTATGACTTCTAATCACACTAAAAATAAAAAATGCATGTCAACAGGGAATTACTTAAAAATCATGCATTAAACACTCACATGCTAAAACACCTCCAGCAGTACAGTCCACTCCAGTTTGTAGACTCCAGGGTAAAGGTGGAGCTGATGGGGGTGGGGGCGGAGGTGGTGGTGGCTTGTTTACTGACGATGAGGACACTGAAGAAGAGGAGGAGGAAGAAGGGTCATTTGCCAGAGGAGCATTGGAATGAGAGATGGAGGCAGACACCGAAGCTGCCGAAGTGGAGCATGGTGGTGATGCCTTTGGATCATCTGGTAGGAGAGGTTTAACACTGGAAGTGGACTGGGATATGGAATCACCCCTGATCTGTGATGATAGCAGACTGGGAGGGCTGGCAGGGGACTTTGAAGGTGTGAGAGATGAGGCTTTGGACTGACCAGGGCCCTCCTCCAAAAGGAATGAAGGCTCTGGTGTCTTGCAGCTACTATCAACAGTTTGAGAGTCCGGGGATGACTCTCTAGTATCTCGAGATGGAGGCAAAGATAACGGGGATGTGTGCGGTGGTGAGGAGGATGGAGGAAGGATACTTGCTGACGAGGAAGTGGAGGATGATGAAGAGGATGAGGGAGTGGGACCAGGAAGAGCTGAAGGAGGACTAGATGGCTTGGATCCAACCCCAACCAACGGCTGCATTTCAGTTGATACCCCTGCCCAACCACCACCAACCGTGCTACAATTACTGTTAGCGCCTTTAGAATCACTTCCATCCACAGTTAGCTCTTTCTCTCTGAGCTTTTTTCCAGGCCTCCTCCTACGTTTTGCTGCCAATGAAGAAGTAGGGGAAGAGGCAGATGAGGATGTGGATGTAGCAGAGCTTGGCTTGGCTTTCTTCAACTTCAGTCCACTCGAATTTGCTGACGACGGAGGCCCAAGGATGTTGCGTTGCTTCCCAGTTTTGCTTGGGTCTTTGCCTCTACCTGGAAGAGCCAGAGTCTCTGAGCAGGGCTTAAGAAATGGTGACCGGCTCTCATTGTCCCGGCGGAACACCACAGCAATAGACCCACCAACAACTGAGGGCCCTGAAGCTCCACTTACAACACCAGAAGGTCCAAGAAGGTCGAGGCCCAACTTCCCAGAGTTCCCAGTGGTGCTGCTAACACCCTCACGAACCAAGACAGACACTTTAGACTGGAGCTTACCCTTTCTGCTACTGCCACTGAGCTTTTTGGCCCTGCCAGAACGCCCGGCATCCTTCTTCCCTACTTTTTCCTTACCGGTTTTCCGTCCTCGTTTAGTAGTGGATGAGAATCCTGTGGGCTGAAGGGAGGTGGTGTTGCCTGAGGATGCAGAAAAAGGTGGAGAGAGAGATGACAAAAGGTTTTTACTTTTGGCTTTTAGTCTATGAGAAGAAGAGGAGGAGGTGGATTCAGACTGACCAACTGTCTTGCCAGGTCTGGATTTCTTCTTCAAATGATGTCGGCTTGCTTTGGGTGCTCCCGATTTAATTTTGGGACTGGGTAGAGGGGGCTCAGGAGGAGGAGGAAGTAGTGGCGAGTCCTCTAGTGAAGGGTAGTCTGAATCCAGTGCTTCCCCATCCAAAGAGAGCATGTCTACCTCAGGACGGTCAGAGATACGGTCTGATTCATATCCATGATAACGAGGCGGCGTTAGGGAGGT